GCTATCACAAGGGCTTAGAGGTAAAAGTTTATCTGTTTTTTTTTTTTTTCCTAGAACATAGAATCAAGATCCTGTCCCAGGGCAGGCTACCTGGCAGATCAACTCTGCAGCCATTTATCTCAGCGTGCTTTACAGACCAGGATCTGAGAAACCACCGGTATCAGGAGGAGGAGTCAGAGAGGGCGAAGACAAGGAATCCGTGGGGTCCCAGAGGTATGGGAAGAGCTCCTGGAGAGTAAAGCTTGAGGCATTGGAAAGATGGTTAAGTGACAATGAAACAAAGCAAAGGAGACATTGCCTGAGTGCAGATCAGACATGCAGCGGTCTAGATAGGAGAGAGATCAAAGCCCATGCAGGAATGTACACACGCTTCCTCAGGGAGCCGGGAATTTTCAACCTTACGGCCAGACTGTTGTCACAAAAGGAAGACACAAGTAGAAAGATGCACTAATGTGCAGACAGGTGTGATACACAGGAAGGCCAGAGGAAGCACAGGGGATTGGGGGAGATGGACTACCTTGGCCTCATGTGTGGGAGTGGGGCAGGGCTGGTGAAGGCCAGCGCAAGCTTTACTCCAGCTGTGCTCACAGGAGGTCCTTCGCCCGTGAGGTCATAGCCCTGAACCTGCACTCTCAAGAGCACCCCAGGTGACAGAGGTGGGCGTGGGCTGTCCACAGGCCCCACTGGGGAATGTGATGGAAAGTCCGAGAACCCAAGTGAGCCTCATGGGTACCCGACTCCAGGCTGCTCTGTTTGCAAAGAAATCCAAGAAGCTCCCTTACCCACCATGAGGGAGGCATGAGGCTGCTGGGAAGGCTCACCCAACTCCTAACACCCACCTTCCCAAACCTAGGAGAGTTTCTCAAACATACGTTTTTACAAATTCTGTCTCAGGTTCTTTGAGCGAGGAGATGCATCTTTTCTCAAAAAGGCACATGCTAGCTCCTGGCACACACTGACTGGGCAGGTAACACAATGTTTGCTTATTGATGGAACCAATCCCCGTTTCTGTTCTGAATGGGTCCTGTGCAGTGTCAGCTGTCAGCATTGTATGAATACAGTACAAAGCTCTTAGGTGACTCCTTGTCCTTGGTTCTCCTTTAAAAAACAGGAATATGGTCTGTAGGTACTCCAGGGCCACAGTTGCATGGGGACTGATGACTGTGTGTTTACGGTTTGAGGCTGTCCGTGGGGGGGGTCTGTGTGGTCACTGCAAAATGCAATGCACAGCAGACAATTCAGTGGTGTGCCTTTGCTACTTTTTAATTATAGAACCCTGGGGATTGGCTCTGTGCATCAATTTCCTTAGTAAAGTAAGAGAACGCGGCTATTTTTTCATTGCCCACCACAATGACTCTTAATCAAGCATGTCCAGGGTACCAAGCACTATTCCAGCTGTGAGGAGTCCCTTGGAAGTAGGATGAGTTCCATCTTTGCCCTGCCGGTGTGACGATGAATAGTGACCAATGGAATCTAGTCCAGGATGGAAGCATCTTGGAGTTGCCTCCTTTCTCTGATGCTAGGAGGCAGTACATCAGCACATCTAGACAGTAAAATGCCTAATTTCCTCTTTTCCAATGCATGGATGGTCTATTCATCTGCTAAGAGACCCTGCCTCTTCTTTGCCTCATTGGTGCCCACACTCTTTTCTCTTGAGCTTTCTCAGCCATAAATCTGCTTCTGCTGCTAGTCTGTTCCCACACACTCTTCCTAGATATTAGCTATTAGTAATAATACCGAAGCACAATCATGTGTATGCACAGCCACTGTCCTAATGCTTTTACCACCTTAACTCACCAGCTCACAGCGAGTATATAAAGGAGTTTTCGTCGTTGTCCTGGTCATTGTACTGGTTCTCTGTCTGTTAGCTGGCAGCTCCGCTCCTGCTCTCCTCCATGCTGCAAGAGGTGAAGAAACCATAGCTGCCCCAGGCTCCAGGTCAGGAGCCCTCTGATTGGCCTCTGCCAGTAGCAGGTGCTGGGAAGGGACTGGAAAGCTGTGGAAGGGAGAAGTTTGCTTCTGCACTGCTTTGTTTTTCCTCTGACTCTGCTGGTGCCTCCCCATGGTGCTGGTCAAGGTAGCCTGTGGCCTGTGGAGCATCGGGGACCTGCTGGCAGCCCTGCAGGAAACCCACAGCACGAATGGGACTGTACCTCTGCCCAACTCTGGTAGGGAAGGCAGGCCCTGCTTTTCACCTCTGTTCCCCTTCTGCAAGACAGCACCTAACTCCATGCAGTAATCCCTCCATGCTAGATTTACCTGCAGTGCTTTGTACTTGCTTGACTGGGTGCTGATGGAGACATCATTTAATTCATAAGGAAATGCAGGTACACTGAGGCTAAGTGGCTTGTTCCAAGTTACCAGCTAGGAAGTTACATAAAGAACAGAGAAAGAAAAGCCAAAAGCCAGGTATTACAGCAGCCAAGGTGGCACATACCTGCAACCCAGTACTCCTGGAAGTCAAGGCAGGAAGATCACAAGTTCCAGTGCTACCTGGGCAACTTAGGGAGACCCTACCTAAAATAAAAACTCAATCGGGTGGGTTTGCCTATTGGGGACATTTCATATAAATGGAATCACGCACTCACTCGTGACCAGCTTTTACTTAACACAGCATTGTCAAGGTCTATCTATCTGTGTGGTAACACAGATGTACATCATTCTCAAACACTTTTAGAGCCCAATGGTGCTGCATTGTTTGGGTGCAAAACAGTTTTCCACTCGTCAATTGATAGAAGTTGGGTTCCTTCTGCTTTTTGCACATTGCTCATAATGCCACTATGAATGTAGGTGTGATGTTTTAGTTTATCAGTATGTGTGTGTGGTACATAATGTTTACCCTCCTTGTGGGAAGCTGGATGGACAGACAGAAAGTCAATGTATGTTTGTCAGGGGTTTGAAGGAAGGGGAAATAGAGACTAAATGGGCATGGGGTTTCATTTTAGGGTGATGAAAATATTCTGAATTAGATAAAATGACAGCTCAGCCATTTTGTGAATGTATTTGAAAAAGATATTTTACAATTTAAGGAATGTGTTTTATGGTATGTAAATTCCAACTCCAGTTTTTAACTTTTACATTTCTTTTTAGATATATAAATACTTTCATTGAGTCATTTTTTTAAAATGGCAGAGGGATGCACCTCAGTGATAGAGCACCCATGGGTTTGATCGCCAAAAATATAAATAAAATAAAATTAAAATTACATTAAATTAAATAAACAGATGCAAAACCAAGACTCGCCCTTTGGAGCTGTTTCCTCTCTCTGTTTCTGTGCTCCTCACAGGGGCTGTGTGGGCAGCTGGCACGGTAACAGGGAGTGAATGGGTGTTAAATGGACCACACTGGTGTCCACCCCACTGGGGGTCGATCCCTGACTGGACGGTGGGGTGGATCCACAGGGGAATAATTACAGATGAACGAATGAGTTCCCAGCATAAAGTAAATGGACGTAGGGAGCAACCTCCTGCTTCAAAATCAGGGCCTGGATACATCTGAAAAGCTACAGGTCCACATCTTTTCTGTAGCATAAACACATATACATGCATATTTGTTAAAGGCATAAATCAAACAATCAAAAGTGTAATCCATCATTGTCCAGTGACGTTGATAATTCTACTGAAGTTCATTAAGATACAAAATTTACCCGGAAGAAAGCACCAAAGAATATTATTATATTTTCCTAAAAACAAGTCTCCAACATAACAGCCACCAAATAATTAAACATTAATGCCGCTAACCTTAAAAAAAAATAAGTAAACCAGTGGCTCCCAGGGGGCTTCTGCGTGAAAAGGGAAAAACAATGACTCATGTATTCTGAGCTCCTATTAATAACCAGGCTCCTGGCAAGTGGTCTGTTTCCAAAGGAGAAAAAAGCCATTCATCTCCCAACTCAGGGAGTAATTTTATATTTTGAATAAAAACAAAATAAACAGCATGAAGGAGGGAAATAAATCAGATAGGCCATAATTAGTTAAAAGAGTTGGTTTTCCTTTGGAGCATCAGCCTCATCAATCAAAGTTAAATGTGCGGCCACAGGAGAATCTCCTTCCCCTTTTCAGACAGAAGGAGCCGGTGCATCACAACAGTGATCTGACTGGAGCCCGCAGGGAGAGCGGAGGACGGGATTATCATAAAAACAGGAGAAAGGGCTGAGTTCCAGAGGTTCCCGGGCTTCCCCCTCTGATGATTCCTTCTTCACTCAGTGGCCTTTTTGATCTCTGGGGAGCCTTAGGAGGCCTAGGATTTCTGTTCATAGAACGTGACAGGGATAAGTTAATTTCCTAACCCTTCTTCAGTTTTACAGATCTGGAGAGCTCAGCCCAGACACAGTAACTGACTTCCTTACATTTCGGAGATAAAATCAGCTGAAGCTCCAGGACCCAAATCCTGACCACCGCCCCCCGCCACTCTGCTCACCAAGCTGGGTGATCACTGAAGCACTTAGCGCCCGCCGTCTTCAGAGTGCTTCTGGGGGAGCCCTTTGTGCTCCCTGATGAGGGGGCCTGGGCCTCTCTGACAGCTTCACAATGTACACAGACCCGGATGTCCTGCCCTTCCCTCACACACCCCCGTGCTTGTGGGCACCCGGGTCCAAGTTCTAACCAGCGTGCTTTCTCTGCCCACTCTTTGGACCGTCCTGCTCAGAGAATTTGTTCAGGAACAGTCCAGAAACAGGACTGAAGGAAGAGCTGACAGAGGACGCCCCTCCAAATGGGTTGGCGAGGGGTTCTGCGTGGCTGCCCTCACTGCTGTGAACAGAGCCCTGGGGATAGGGTGCGGGCAAATTCGGAGCAGATGGAGATGTACCATAGCATTGAGTCCATGTTTCACCAAGCAAACAAAGACAAAAATCCCCAACAAAGCTGCAACACCAGGCGTTTACTGAAAAAAAGGAGGGATGTGATTCCCACATGCATATTGTAAATTGCAAGTATATACCACTTTCTCATAACCACATCTATTTTCCTTTATAAGAAATAGAGCACAATGTTGTTGTTGTTATTTTTAATGTAAAGGAAAACTACATAAGAAGTCATCCCAGCGAACTGGAGAAACTTGTATGATTCTGTCCAAGTGCTGTCTGAGTAGATACCAGGGAGGAGCAGATGGGCTGGGCCCCATCTTTGTATCAAACACCCAACTTGCTTTATTTTAGGACACGGAACTCTCTTGGCGGTTTGTATCCATGCACAAGGCTTCATTTGATCAGAAGCCTCCAGGGCAACTGTGTGTCTGTGCTTTGTGCTCTTTTCAGTGGTCACAATGGGTCTTTGTGCACACACTCTGGAGGACAAAGGGAGGAACCAGCAATTATCCGGAGACTTTGATGCCATAGCTATTCTCCTGGGACTTTTGGTAGATGCCGTGTGGTTTGTCGTCTAGGCTCTGAAAAGTACACGTGATTTCTGCTCCCTTTAGAGGCTCTCGGAGGCGTGGCCACCTGTCCCAGCTCACGTGCTGGGCAGTGACGGCAGAGAGCCATGGGAGTCACATCCTGTCCCATCCAGCTCACTGCCCGGGGGCTGCAGGAAACTGGTGCTGGGGGTGAAACCGTGCATTCCACAGCTACTTTACATGTTGACGTCCCAATGCCAGGATCTTAGAATGTGACTTTATTTTGAGGCAGTGACCTCACAGAGGCCACTACCTGTCTATAACATAACTGTACCACTGTGGGAAGAGCAGATGTGGGCACAGACACATGCGCAGGGAAGGTGAGGTGAAGATCCTGGGAGAGATGGCTGTACAAAGAGAGAAGCCTGGGGGCCAGTGCTTTCTTCCTAGTCCTCAGAAGGGGCCAGCCTTTAGCATCAGACTTCTGGTCTTCCAGGGGAGGGAGAAAGTTATGTTTCTGTGATCCAGGCCTCTTTGTGATGGTAGATTGCATGGCAGTCCTGGAAGACCAACAGAGCTGACCACCTGGTGAACACTTGCAAGCTCTGGGGGGAGCCAAGGTGCCCTGAGGAGGTGGGAGATGCTGGGCATGCTCTGTAAAAGCATAAGGCTGTGAGGAAGGAACAGAGGAGGAGGAGGTGCCCCATGGGAGGGGCCTCACAAAACTGTCTGTCTTCCTGCCTGTGTCAGCCCTCCCTCTAGGAATAGATCCCTGGGGGCAAACGCTTCCAAGTCATGTATATTGGGACCAGAAAAGCATTAATTTTTTTGCAGCAGATCTACCTCTTTAATTCAGTTTTGTTTTAGGCTAAAAATTACAATATTACATTTTAATATTCAAACATGAGCATGAGTTTGCATTCCTTGAACATCCACCCACTTCTCTCCTCCACCACAGGCAGAATAGTGAGAGGCAGAGGCTGGCAAGACAGCTGGGCTGTGGCTACTGTCTCATCTCTGGGCCTAAGTGGACATGTGACCATGAGGGGTTCCCTTCCTTCCTCTGGGCCTCAGCTTTGTCCTCTCTCAAATGACAGAGACAACCTAACCTGGGTCATCTTTAAGTTTCCACCAGCTCAGGGCAGGTTCCAGTCTGCACATCTCTCTGGATGCAGGGAACCAGATGGGGAGCCAGGAATTGATCTTTGTTCTATTGTCACTGAAGCTGAGTGGTGAGTGTGAGTGCTGTTAGGCATGTGACTGGGATGTTTTCTGTAGACACCAAGAGATCCTAAGCACAAAAAGTTCACTGCTTCTTATTCTCTTCTGTAAGTGATAAAATATATAAAAAAAAAGACGTAGGCTAAAAATAAGATATTTTCCTGCTGCAAAATCTTGAATTATTAAAACTTCTGGGACCATGTGGGTCTGAGTGTGTGTGTGTGTGTGTGTGGTTTACCCATACCCTGTCACCCTTGCATGTGCCTTGGTTCCCAGGTATGCCAAGCAATTTCTTAGTCTTTCTTGGGGGCCATTATACCTTGGAAAGTGGGTGTTCAGGACCCCTCCACTTTCCCAGATGTGCTGCTGCCTCTTAGTTTCTGCTGTTGGTGTCAGTGCAGTTGATGACACTGTCCGTAGTTCTTGGGCCACCTCCGCCGGCCCCTCTGCTGATAGTCACTTTGCTGTGACTACTATACCCTCACTCCATCCCACCCAGGAAGAGTTATTTGGAATGAAATTAGGCAGAGTGGACTTATTTTAACTTAGTTCCCTTCTGAACCCCCCCAACACACCTAATGCCACAAATCACAAAGAGACCAGAACAGAGCTCTTCACTGCAGAATTCAGGGAGGCAAGAAGAAGGCCGGGGCAAGGCAAGGCCAAGTGACTCTTCCTCCGACCCTGAAGTTCCTGGAAAATGCTTCTGCCCTTTCGACCTTGGAGAAAGGACAGCCCTTGCCGAGTGAAATAGCTGAACCAAGCAAGTGATATTTCACCACCTTTACCATGTTCTGAGGTTTGTTGCCAGGCACAGTCCTGCCACACTGAAGAGAAGTAGTAACTCACCTTCATGTCACCTTTAAGGTACAGCTACCACACCTATTCCCAAAAGGACTGGAGGACGTTAGGTACTGAGCTCAGTTGTGCAATGATTGTCAGCCCGGTCTAGGCTGGTGGCCTCTGTCTCCTTTCTCCATGGCACAGCCGCCGAGGTGGGGGCAGCAGGCAGAGCAGAAGAGGCAACGCATGAGCTCCCCCTGGCTTTTCATCTCGCTGTTCAGTAACCACAGTGGGCAAGGGAGCAACTAGATGAAAAATAAAAATGATGGCCACCTACCGCTATGGGCTATCTACCGTCTTCTCTGAAGCATAATAAATACTTGGCCATTTCACTAAACATAGTGCCCTCCCACCATTAATAGCATTTCATACATGAGAAACCAAGGATTCAGAGCTGGGGAAAGGTCGACCTGACTTGTGATCAGCCACGCTTGGCAGAGAGCAATGAGAGCAAGCATTTGATGAATGCTTCTTCCGTGCACTGTTCTGAGGGTTCGTCAGACATTAACTTTGTCTTGGCAGCACCGCTACGAGGTAGGCACCACTGTGAACTCCACCACGTAGGAAGAAACGGAGGGTCAGAGACATTTGTTAACTTGGTCAAACCCACACAGCTAGTGAGTGGCAGAGCTAAAATTAACCCAAAAAGTGAAATCGCAGAATGGAGGGTTCTAATCTGTGCTGTTTTACTTCTATGGCCTCCAAAGGAGAAAGAGAGAGCTTACCAGTGCATCTACCTTCCCAAGAGCTAAACAGAAAAATCACCTGTAATCGGCTTTTGTGGTTATGTAAAGAAAATGTGTATGAATAAAAAATATATAGAAAGATGAATAAATAAAATATTCTTGGGGCCAGGGATGCAGCTCAATGGTGTAGATCCTGCCTGGCAAGCGCAAGGTCCTGAGGTCAATCTCCGGTACCCCCCACCAAAAAACCTTCAGGAATCACATTCCAGGACTGTGGATGTTGCTGAGTAGTGTAGTGCTTGCCTAGCACAGAGTAGGCCCTAAGTCCCCTTCCCAGAATGCAAAAGAAAAAGAAAAGAAAAAAAAAAAAACTTCAGTTTTAGAATCAATATGCTTCATTTGAATAGGATAGCCGAATACAGTATTTAAGTCTTCTGAATGTTTTCAGAACAGTATTTAAGGCAATTAGTTCAAATCACAGAAGTATAGTGACTAAAATTCTAAGCTGTGGGCTTAAATACTAAGCTGAACTGAGTAATGAAATTAAGTAATTACTGTTATATTAGTTTCTCATTGCTGCTGTAACTAACTGCTGCAATTTAGTGGCTTAAAACAACACAACTGAAATAACTCACAGTTCTGGAAGCTGGAACAGCTATCACTGGGCCAAAGTGTTCTCAAGTCTGCATTTCTTCTGGAGGTCTGAAGAGGAGCTTGTGGTCTTCCCCAGATTCTCTAAGTTGCTCGTGTGTTTTGCTTGTGGCCCATTCCCTAATTTTCAAGCCCAGCTGGACTTCTTGCTCTGTGGTCATCATCTTGTTTTGGGCCAGTTGATCAGAAATCACCATTACCTCCGCAACCTTTACGTCATGTAATGCAATACATTGAGAATGGGACTCAGGACAAGGACACTTTGGAGAGATACTTTTCTACCTGCTAAAACTTCTACCTATTTTTGGAGGGAAGGGGTGATAATTATGCCATGCTTATTATTTTTTAATGTCTGTGTTTCAGAACTACATAGTGTGTATTCTATAGATGAAAGGATGTGAGGCTAGAAATCTTCAACACGATATAAAAAGGAAAGAAGATGAGCACAGAGATGAAACAAAATTGGCCATGACCTGGTAATTTTTGAAGCTGTGTATCTGGCATGTGGAGGTTCACTGTTCTATTTCTGAAAGAAGAAAAATTTGCATGATAAAAAATAACTGCAGAGGAAGGTTTAAGTTAATAATAACCCTAGCATATTCCGGTGATGATTCTCCCCACCAGGAACTATGCTGGGTGCTCATCTCATTGGTTTTCATAATGACCCTGGGCAGAAAACACAGTCCACTCACAAACATGACATGTACACCCGGTGGGATGCATGACTCACCAGGGATGCCATGAGCCAGGTTCCAAGTGCACCTTGCTTCCCCTTAGAGGCCGCTCCTAATCCTGACTTCAAGCTCGGTGCAGGCCGGGAGGTGACAGTTCTGGAAAGCGCTGTGCTTACTCCAAAGGAGACAGAGACAGGCATGTCAAGTTGCAACTCTGGGCCATGCTCAACCTCTTACACTCCAGGAGACACATATTTTGTCCACTGAGAAGAGCCTGGCCCTTTCCCTGCACAATGAGGCCGTGGGATCCATTCTGCAAATCCTAGAGGACAGAAAGAAAGAATAAACCAAGTTGTTTAATTAAAAGCCACCAGAAGCAGTAACTGGCTGTGACACAGAAACTGCAGCAACAACGTAACAATGTGCCTGGGAATACGAAGCTTTTCCTCCACGCGTCAGGCTCACAGGATCCGGCCTCACCTGCGGTTTTACCCTCTGGCCTGGCCCACTCCGCCGTCTCCTCCAGAACAGCCCAGGGCCACTGCCTTCCTGTGGGGGAATCTCCAGCAGGAGCGCTGCCCTGCCCCGCCGGTCTGGTTTCCACTCCTTCCGCACTTCTGCAGGAGACTTCGCTGTTTCCCCAGTTTGCATCCTTTGGTCCTGGAGGGCAGGAAGGTGCTGGTGCGTCCCAGAGAGCTGCCAGATCCTGCGGCCAACACCAAGAGCTCTCCGAGAAGGGTGGATGCTCACGGCCCCATCTCCGGTGTGGACAGGGAAGCAGAACACATAGTAGTTGATTGGTGATTATTTGTTGAATGAAAGAATGTCACAGAAAATAAATATTATTTTGCCCTTTTGAATTTTATTTCTCCGTGCCTCCCTATAAAAAGGCAGTTCTCCATGACTGCAGGTTCCTTTGCTGGGCCATGCACTGGACGGAAGTGTGCACTGGCTGTGGGCATCCATGCACACCTGGAAACAGGAACCTGAGACCTATGCTGTGGATCACAACGCAGAGGAGCAGATTTGGAAGAACACGAGCTCAGAAACGGTGGCAGGCTGTCTTGAGAGTGACCATGACCATCTGTGTGACGTCATACGCTGTGCCAGGAACACCGGAAATATCACTGTCTTGCCACGGTGGAAGTGTATTTCTCACTTACCCGAAGTCATCCTTACTTTGAGATGAGAGGCATTACTGAGATCGAATCCAGGGCCCTGTGTGTGCTGGGTGAGTGCTCACCACTGAGCTATACCCCAGCCATTTTTATCTTTAATTTGAGGCTGGCCTGGAGCTCAAGATCCGCCTGCTTCAGCCTCCTGAGTATCTGGGCTAAGAGGCTTGCTCCTCTGAGCCCCACTCTTATCCACACACACATAAAGTTTATCTCTCCCTCATTTAAGCCCCCAAAGATGATTCCAATATGTAGGGGTAAGGGTGTAAAGTAGAGTCAGTGTTCGTTTTGCTCCATGCAGAAAAGTTTTGGGAGTTAGGTTGATGGAGGCTTTGACCCCAGCAATGGAGCCCAAACTGCAATATTAAGCCACTAGGGGGAGGAAGAGAGCAAGGACCCTCCACCTCAGGTTATCAGGGACCCTGCTGGGGGTGGCACACCTGCCTTTACTTAAAGCCCATTGAGTAAACCTCGTCTCAGGGCAACATCTAACTGTAGAGAAACCTGGAAGTCAGTCTGGCTATCTGCCCAGAATCAAGAGGAAACCACTGCTCAGGATCTGGGGCAAACCCCACCCCAAAGACAGAGGTGCTGAGTGCCCAAAATGAGACGGAAAGGAAGGGAGTGCAAGGGAGGAGAGAGTAGTATGGGGGCATTGGAGGGGTCTCCTTCCAACACGGAGCCCCCAATGACTGGCTTTACTCACTCAAACCCGGACAGGAGCAATTACAGGTCCGCGGGACTCATCTGTCTCCCGCCATCCGTGGCACTTGTCCAGGTAAACAACTTACACTTAGGTGTTCTCACTTCTCCCTGCAGTTTGTCAGCACACTTGCATACCCTCTCTCTTCTCAGTGCTCACTGAGGAGGACACTTAGGCCTCGGTCGTCCCATCTGGTCTCCACAATTTGCTGTACACTAACCCACAAAAAACCCAGAAGGGAGGATGTATTTGGGAGTCTCTGTGCCTTAGAATATCTGTAAGACCCCTGGCATATGCCAGGGTTAGGCTAATTTGCCTGGAATTATCTGAGTTCTCTCTTGGAATCACTCATCCTGATCACGTCCTCAATCCTGGACAAACCAGGGCGGTTGGTGGCCTGGAAATCCTGAAATCTTTGACTCTCTGCACTACACAGGCTCCATTATGCACGCGTTCAGAATTTTGCCTCTCCTCCCAGTTGGTCAAAGCTAATTCATCTCTGCTATTTCCTCTTTTTAAAGCCAACTTCTAAAGCTGGCTAAGGGAAACACATGTGAAAAATCTGACACCCTTGAAAGGAATGAGCATCTATTAGGGCTGAGGAAGGGTTTAATGGGGGGCGTTGCTTATTTCAAAGTCCCCTAAGAGGCTCATTTGAGGCCAGGTGCCATGAGAAACCACCGCCTCTCTCTCTGGTCTGTGCTGTGCCCCAACCAAGAGAATGTAAAGAAGCCATAGACAGAAGCTGAGATCAGAAGCAACTTAGGAGAGGAGCAGGGCAGCTCTTTCAAGGCTTGCACAGCTCTGAGCATGCTTGGGGTCTCACCCTGGGCGTTTACTCAAAGGCAGACCAGAAGTAAATCAGCTTTGGAGGTGTCAGAGTCTGAAATGGGAGCACATTCTCAAGGAAACCATAGAATAAAAGCTTACTTGGTGAGCTTTGAACACAAGATAACTATTACCCACTGCCTCCTGAGATTCCATTTTAGGATTTTTTTCCTTCAGTCACCACCCATAAAAAATATATATTGTTACCCTTTGTGCCTTAGTCAGCTGGAGCTCAGGCTGCTCCAGAGGCAAGGTCGCTTAAGAGGGCATGCATGCATTTCACATGGCTTTAGAGAGTGAGCGGTCTGAAGTCAAGGCAATTTCAGGCTGAGTCCCTTGTTGGGTTCTGCTGTGGTGGGCAGACAGCGCCTCACCACATCTTTTAGTCATGGAGAGAGCCGCAGTCTCCTGAGGACAGTAAAATCCGCACGGACCCCCAGCCTCGTGGCCCCATTATTACCTACCGTCTCCCACGGGCCCTTGCTCTTTTACTGCCGGCTGCCTTGGGTCTGCAGCTTTCCTATAGGGAGCTGTGACACTGCCAGCACAGTGGTTCCAGATGTTCCCGCGCTTAGTGCGAAGCGCCCCCTGCAGGCCTGCCCCTTGCTCTGCAGCTGGCCCTGTACGCACTGGGGCGGAGGGCGTGTGGATTCCCTCAACTCTGTAACGTGGAATCACTTCCACAGCTGCAGAAGTGACACCTAGAGCACCCACAGAACTTTCACCCCGTGACCGCTACTGTAAACACCTTACGTTATTACAGTGTTTGTTAAAGCTACACAACCCACGTCGGTACACTGTGTCTAAACTCGAGCCTTTCTTTGAATTTGCCAATTTTCCCATAACTGCCCTTTTCCAGCCCCAAGATGTAACCCAGGACACCACACTGTGCTTAGTTGTTATGGCTCTGCAGGGTCCTCTGGTCTGGGACAGGATCTCAGTCTGTACTTGTTTCTGAAGACCTTGGCAGTTCTAAGGAGCACAGCTCATGTGTTTCCTAGAATGTCCTTCACTTTGAGTTTATCTAGTAAAACGCACACACTAACACACACACACACACACACACACACACACACACACATACACACACACGTGACCCACAGCCTACCCAGGCCCTGTATTGCCTCTGGGAAGCAGCATTTGCTTTATTGATAAATTTTCTGCTGGTGAATATGATCCCTCTGGCTTAAGTTCCTCTAAGAATCTCTATTTCAGAAAAGAAAGCACAACACTGGAGCCTAAGAACTTGCATTTCAGCCTTGACTTCTTGTGCACTAACTTTGATCTTGGGCAAATCGTTGAACTTCTAATGAGTCTTGGCTTATGCTTTGAAGAAAAAGTATAAAACACCGAGTCAGGATGCTGTTGTGAAGATTAAATAAACTGTGTAAGAAGTGTGGTCAAAAGCTAAAGAAATGTTTAAATTATTATTGCAGTTGAAGACATATTGCCGTTAACCCCCTCAGAGCTCTTCCCCTCCCCTAAACACATAACCCACTGTTCCTGACGCTTTCCGAGGCAGTTCTGGAGTCCCCTTCTGTGGTGTCTCTGGTTGTGCTGTCGTGGCTGCCATGATATTTTAAGTAGATACAAAATGTTTACCAAAGCTGGACTGATTCTGAAGAAGAGCCAGAAGTCACATGATGCCCGATCCGGCGAATAAAGTGGGTGAGGATGCACTGTCACGTGCTTATGAATCCACCTCTCCGTGGGATGGTGTTCAGCGGTGGCATTCACTGTAAATTTTTTCATACTTCACAAAGACAATCAAGAAAAAGGATTTCTAGCACTGCTTAGGAAAGGGGCAAGAACTATGGGGTTCATGTGTTCAAAGGAGGGAGTATTTTGAGTGGGGATGTGTCTTTGGCAAACATGTCTTTTACTGTAACAGATTCTGTAAATGTAAAATTCACCATTGGATGGCCCTTATATGGTGCACTTGGGATATTATGTAGCACATGTTATGGTTTGATCAATATCTGCATTCCTACTGTGTGCTTGTTCTTTGTTTCCTTTTTGCAGTCCTGTAGTAAGAAAGGGGGCCTCTCATATGCTAATCAAGCTCGCCCACTGAGCCACATCTTTGCTCCTTTTTAAATTACATTTCAGACAGGGTTTCGCTTAACTGCCCAAGCTAACCTCCTGACTCAGCCTCCTGAGCAGCTAGAATTTCCAGTGTGTGACTCCAGCTGAGCAGCTATGCCCAGCTACTCTTGTTCTTTATGGTCATCCGGAACTCTGCTAGCATCTCTTGGCATTTGCCCTTGATCAAAACACAGGAGAAATGCAGACTGCAGCAACTGTCCAGCTCACAGTTCTCCCAGCAGCACTGGGTAAAGACTCTGTCTTCCCCGGCTCTAGGAACTAGGACCCACTTAGCCAGTTAGAGTCCCTCCTTGGGGTTTGTCCAATACAGTTAGTAGGACATTTCCCTTTCCTTTGCAGTTGCAAAGATGAGCTGCTGTATTCATGCTTCCTGTCTTGAATCTGAAGGTGTCAGAGCAGGAAACCAGAATCTGTGGAGAAGCAGAGCTGAGAGATGGATCGAGACAAAATCCATGGACTTCTAGTGGTTGGGTCCAGCTATTGCTGTGGTCAGTTCAACTCTAGCCTTTCCATAGTTTGGTGACTAACACAGATCAATTAGCCTGTTTCCTTAGACTATGTCAAGTTATGTTTTTATAAAATGCAATTAAAATAACCCTTACAGATTGCGGTTTTATTCCAATCTTAGCGTTGACATTTCTGTGGCTCTAGCAGAATGCCCAAGGCTGAGTCTCTCATGAGAAAAATGAGGTCTATTTAGCTCATAGTTCTGGTGCTGCTGTCTGCTCATCTTTTGGTGAGGGCTATGCGCTGCTCTGTGTGTCCTAGGAAAGCAAGGGAAGTGACTGAGAGTGAGGACCATGTGGTGACAGATGTTTCCAAGGGGCAGTGCCAGGCTCAACCTGTTCTCACAGCGACCAGCTCCCTCTTTCAGGAGCTGTGAGAACCCTGAAATAGGAATTTCATTGATCTTGGAATGGCTCCTCCCCACCACCCATTTCCCCTTCAAGTCCCCAACACCTTGAGACTTTGCCACAGTAGGGGCCAATGCTCAACGTAGTCGCACTGGGGATGAGCCACACTCACTCCGAAGCTCCTACTTCTCCCTGCTGCGCCCTGTTCCAGGTGCCTTGCTCTGCCGCCTGCTATCTTTGCCTTTCTTCTTCTGCGGCAGTGTTAACAGTCAGGGGACCTCCCTCTTTGGCCCTTTTTGCTGAGGGCCAAGCTTTCTCCTCTGTGATATTCCCCTGACACATGCCACTTTGCCTTGGAGCCAGCCAATTGTGAACTGAAAGCTCTAAAAATTGAGTTAAATAGACTCTTCCCCTTTACAGGTATTTGGCCTCAGCAATGAAAGAAAAGTAACAAAGTTACACAGGCCCTGGGCAACTTCACTTAAGAAAAAGGCAGATCATGACTAAAATCTAGCTTTTGTTCTCAGCAGCTCAGTAACTTTGGCATTTTGCAAGTAAACTGCCGGGGAAGTTCAGTCCGGTGTGGATGAACAGGTTACAATATGTGTTTAATGGGAGGTACAGTTTAGGCTGAGGCCTCAATGATCTGAACAAAGCTAAGTAACCCCACATTCTGAGGGAAGAGCTGGCTCGACAATCCACGTGAGAACTTCCACTTTCTGGCTCCTCTAAAACTCTGAATGGCTTGCTTAGAAAGGGCTAGATGCTTCCTCAGGGAAAAAGGAAGTTCTTTCCGATATGCATGTAATACTGAGAATGGACTTGATTTCCTTCACAGACAAAGGAAGGACATACAGGGATGGCTACTCCTGGTTAGAGGGCTTGTGGCCAGTGGTTGCCTGGCATCTCAGTCCCAGGCTAGATACCAGCTGGCATGCCAAGGTGCAGCAGCCACTAGGGCCCAACCTGTCCCAGAGGGTGAAGCATAAGAGAACTCAAGGTAGATCTGAAATACGTTCTCCTGGCAGCAACAGCATAGAGCTTAATGCCCAGGCTGGTCTGGGGAGATTGAGGCTGGGGGCTCTCCAAAACTGTCCACAATGGCCAACTAACTACATGCATTTGTCCTTGGCTACTG